AAGATCAGGACCTAGCTCCTGATTAGATGAATAAGCATTAACGTCTCTCAATCTTCAGCTATGGAAAAAAGTCCTACATGCAGGAGATGAATCACCCCATTTAACTAAGTAAAAGTTTTCTTAGCACAGAAACCAGGGAAAACTATATGTATAAAAAGTGAAATAACTGTCAAAGACTGATTAAAAGTAATCTCCAATCTCTCTGAAGAATTAGTAAATATAGTGTTAACTTGGCTTATGGAATATAATTTTTCTTTCTTAAAATAAACAAGCTTTGTTGCTTATTCCTATCCTTTCTATCATCCTTTCCCTTCACAATACAAATCTCACCCTGTCCTCTGTGTTTAAGCACAAGCACAGAAGCACAGATCAGCCACAAGCTCCCGCAACAGTGAGTGCACCACCGTCAGCTCCCAGTGTTGAATGCAAAGTCCCTCACTTCTCTTATTTGAAAAGGGCAGTAAAGCTTTAGGTAAAAATGACAAGTGTTGGGGTGTCTAATATGGCTTTAAGTAAACTGTTCTAATACTCATTAACATTCTATGCTTTTTCTGTGCTTAGATTCAACTGCCAGCTTCCAGTGTTTTGACTAAAGAGCCTAGTTAGATCTACCACCATCTGGAGTTATCTTCTGCTACGGGAGTTTGTAAACTGAGATTCTTGAATAAAGAATAAAACCCCAGAGTTTCATATAAATCACTTTTGGGGACTCATCAGCTTGGGATCACCTGAACACCATATTTCTAGATGTTTTCCAGCTTCTCAGGATCCTTTAGGAACGTGGACACAAGAACCAGAAACAGTAACAGTCTCGCAGCACCCTGCAGCTTGGCTCAACATTCACAAGACCACATGTCCACAGCCTCACACCAAAAGAATAATCTTACTCAATACTGAATTGTAACTTTGAGACATCTTTTTCCAGTCTCACCATTTTCAAAGTCAGTCTACCACTTAGCAGACATGACCTACATACCTTTTCCCCAAAAAATATTTGGTCTTTCTTTTGCCATCTCTCAAGTATGCTATTTAAATGACCACACTCTGCCAAGAAGGAAAAATCCATGTCTGTGTCTAATCTGTGGGGTCATTTTACTCCATTCTGGAACACTCCTAAGGGAAGTGTCACTGACAAAACTCTTGTTTTATTCCTCAGCTCTCCATACTTCTCTGTGGCTTTCTTTAGACACAAAACCTAACCTCACAGCAAACAGTCCTGTCAGCCACCACTGATCCACAGATGACCGGGACCAGAACACTCAGGAGGAGGAAGCAGGGCAACACTGATTAACTGGCCATAGCTATATTTTTTTCCAGGGATTTAAGGCTTCTTTGACAGCAGTCTAATCCATTAACAAAGTAAGCAAAGTCAAAGTCCTTTATTCTTTTGCTTCACTAGAAGATGAAAGCACTGCTTATTTTTTTACCCTGGAGAATAATAATCGGGAGGTGATGCGCTCATTTGACACATCCCTTGGTTTGCATGCAGATCGGGTATCGGCAGGAACAGCAGGCTTCCCCAGAACATATGTGCAAATATTCAAGAATAGCAAACAACAAGGATAAACATAGTTGGAGCAAACAGCTTTGCTGAATAGAAGTGAATGTTTGCAAATGCTGCTTTGCAGTATTTGACCTGCACTAATGAGCCCTCTGTATTCAATAAGCTGGTCTTTCACAAAAAGAAAGATTTCTGGTGAAGGGCATACTCCTTTAGTTTCCCTATGGGTCTTCAAAAGTGGTTTTGAATGAGCGCCTCAGAGACAACACGAGGTCATATATCTTTTGCATATAATTCCCCAAAGCAACCAGCTTTAACGTGTATCCTTGATGGAACTCATATTTACTAATTATAGTCATTTATCAAATGAATTCACTGAGCTTTAAGGCTGTATTAGCATTAGAATTTGACATTGAACTATATGCTTTTCAACTTCCAAAATTTGAACATGGTCTGACTAATATATATTAGTGATGTGTCCCTAGCATGGTACACTGGAATCTCTGTCAATTGTAGGATGCTTGTAAGTTTGAGGGAAGCACTTCCATATTTTCCAAGATTAAGCAAGAAAACTTGAGAAAAACCAAACCAAAACAAATAAAAAAAAAATAATCCCCTACAGCCAGCACTAGAAATCTACCTTCAATAAAAGAATAACAACATTTTTCCAAAGGAGCAGTGGCTTAGAACAGATGCTGCCAAGATGAATGATTAATGCACATTAATTGTGGTAAGGAGTTTTCAATTTCAAGTGTTTTCAAATGAAAACAAACAAAAAACCCACCAACCACAAACCCACAAAAAAAAAAATAGAAGATTTGATAAAGAAAAAACCTACTCCTTCCATTCAAGTGCCTTTTAAATCTTTTTTATCCTTCTGAAAAACAAAAGAATTTGCATTTAAGTGACATTTTTAGTAAAACACATGGTCCACAGTGCTGGAATCAATTTCTGACTTTTCAATTGCCAATTTATCCCCATCCAACAAAAAAGGAAAAAAGGGAAATGGGAAGGATACAGTCTGGGAAGAAAGCAGCTTACAGCCAGCCCTAGCATACTAATAAACAGACTAAGCAACCCAGAAAGACTTTCTCTTTGGTAATACTGGTTTGACAGTACTTGTTATCAAGTAATACTTGACAACAGCAGTTGCCAAGGAATGAAAGCAACATCTGGTCAGGAAGTTTGGAATGGGGTTTCATTCATTCTCAGCTTTCAGAAATAAAAGACTTATGCTGGTCAGAAAAATGTTTTAGTCTGCATTTTCTTTTATCTGCATGTAGGTTTGCAATGGGGAAAGGACAGAAAATAAGATGTGAATGCCAAAGCCAGACATTCTCCTCATAAAGATTCACACAGAATATAAACACAAACACCCATAACCAACAAGCCACTGAGTACTGCTGCCTACCTGGAGAAAGAAGCTGGGACTCCTGCATCATTGGTTTGTGTGCAAAGCGCACCATTGCCAGAATTGTGTTAAGTGCAAGTAACATTACGTACATGCCGATTACCACCCAGCTCCCCCTGGAAGAGACCATTCACCTGGGCAGCACTCAAGACGCGCACACAGAAACTCCAAAACCAAACAGGGGACATCCTTCTTTTCTGCCTTTCAAGAATTGTCTCTAAACTCAGATGTGAGGAAACTACCTCATTTATCCATGAGAACACTGAAATTTTTAAGTCAATCTCTGGTTAGGGTAAAGGTTAGAGAAGACATTTTTTTGGTTTATTTAGGTGTCAGTCCCTTCACTGTGAAGAAGTTGGGAGATTTATCTTTTTTATATTACTTTTTAAGGGGTGACTGATGCCCAAATCCACCACTGGAATCTAAAGAGAAGATCATACCATTACAACTAACTAATCCAAACCCCCCAAATCAATGGAGAATGGGGAACATTAGTGTAAATGGAAGATTACCAGCTGCACTTACAATATGCAATTAGAAGACTTCCGCAGACTGGCACTTATGGTCCACAGACCAAACTCTGGTGGGGAGGAAAACTGACTTTGTTGTCAGAGGAACCCAGATGTGCTTCATGCCCAACACATTGCTGATTGTTTCCTTAGTAAAGAGAATGTTACATCACTAAAGCTTTTACATTGAATCTGTAAGCTTTTCCTATTGCTCATTCACAAGAAACAAACTGCCCATAGAGACAGCAATAAAGCCTCAGACATAGGAAGTCACAATTACAAGTATCAGTCTCCATGAAAGATATCAGGTGTCAGCTTCAACAGGAACTTCTCAACTGCCTTGACAGAACCACAGGAAGACAGTGTCCCCATTCTCAATGCTAAATTTAGTCAAGACACAATGTACCAAGCAAAGCCTGGCCAAAGATTATATACAGCTGAATCTGCCAAGTTACCTAGTCTGAATTGTGAGCAATTAAATGAAGAAAACTTGAACTTTGATATCCATAGCAAGTGCTCTCTGTATAAAGTACAAAAGCTGAAACTGCCCCAGATTTCATATATTTTGTTTCCATAGAGACTTTTTATAGTTCTGCACAAACCACAACACTACTTCCTCAGCCCAGCCTGCAAAGCAAACTGTTGATTAACATAAAGGAAGATAGGGCCTCTTCTAATTGGCTTAAATCAGGAGAGCTCCCACTGGTAATGAAGCCAAATGGCCCCCAGGCCTGAATTTTATACATCCAAGGTAAAAAAAAAAAAAAAATTAAAATAAAAAATCAAGCAATTTCAGGAAGAGTGCACAGCATCACGAGTTTCCAGCACCTGAGTGCACCCTCCAAAACACTACAAGGAAGAAGTGTACCAGAAGATGCAGAGATGTGGATCAAGGCTGGAAAAGTGAAGCCATGCCTATATAGAAGGTGAAGAAGCAGCAGCTGCCAGATTAAAATGAAAAGGAGATTGAAGTAGAAGGATGAAGTTAATACAAAGCTTAGCTCCAGTATGCACCATTTCCAGGTTGCCTAAATTTCTCTCTCACTGCTTGGTATCACTCCATCATTATATGGTCAGATTTAAGGCCTGCTGAAAACAAGAGGAGCCTGAAATTAGGGATTTGAAAATTTGTATCAAGGAATATGTTTGAGCAGAAAATCTTTTTTGCCATTATTTTTCTTAGTTGTTTCCTTTCAATAACGGCAACCAAATAATAAAGGGTACTAAGACTATGCTATATACAACAAGCAGCATTCCTGGTGGAGCAGCAGCAGCTCTGGAAAGATAATGTCATCAATCAGAGAGAAAACAAACTTGCTTTGTCCAAAGTGTCAGCGTTGGACCTTGCTTGATTTTTCAAATGAATCTTTTCAAATTAAACCTTCAAAGAGTGCAAGAAGAATATTTATTGCAAGCATTACTCAAAGTCTAGTGTTTCTTGAAAACAGATTTAATTAAATAGTGAGCTCCAATAAATATATCAAATAAATAATTTCTGTTTGAGAGACACAGCCAGAAACCAGAATGAAACCATTGAAAACAAACATGAAAGAGTTATGGGAAACCTCTTAAACTTAATTTTAATAACCAGCTCCTAGTTTCAAAGCATTCTTGTGTTCTTCAGAAAGAGATGATTATTCTTTGGACCCATCTTCTACAGGAGCACATCATAAACCTGTCACGGAACTTACCACACAGCACATCTAGGGACAAATTTCTATTTCTAAAGAAGTCGGGGTCAATTCTCTTACCCGCCCCTGAGTCAGACTGTACCTACAGGAGAGTGTCTTGAGGGGTTAAACCCATAGGGTTGTATGCTGTTTACCTCTGCCTATTCTTACTTCTGTGCTGCTGGTATATCAAGAGTTTCATTTAAACTTCACTCCCATGTCTTTGCTAATATACTGGTTTAAATTCTCAGCTTCACCAGCTCTAGGTGCTATCACTAGGGAAAAAAGAAGGGAAAAGATGAATAAGAAGAGCCAACAACTTCTTCGTGCACCACAGCTGAGCTAGTGCTAGAGGTGCATTAAATGTGGCAGATTAAACTGTTAAAAACATTCCCTTTAGTGGAATATATGTGAATAATCGGTGATATCCTTAAAATCTCAGGACCCTGAGTTAAGCCTGGACTTTTAAAGCTCTTGAAGCAAGAGGAATCAATACTCAATTCACAAAGATTTTAGTCTCCCCAGGCTCTCCTGTCCCAAAGCATTGCACCTCAAACAAGCACACACATCTGAAATCCATACATTAGCACATGCAGCATTATTGCCCAGAGTTAAAACAGCATGTCACTGCCAGACCCCAGGCATGACCAAACCCTGGACTTCCAGGAGTCACCCTGCATAGGTTGTCCCTACAGTGGTGGCACACAGCAAGACCAACCTGCACCACTTGTTCACCCACCTTTACACACTGGGGGCATTCAGGGTACCAGCTGACTTGCATTAGGGAAGACACACAGTGGCTCTGTTGTTACCAACTAGCCTTCACAGAGATAACAGATCAGATTCACAAGGCTAGGTGAAAGCACATACCTATTTTCATGCAGCTCCCTCAAGCAAAAAGATCTTCAATGCAGAGCAGCCAGCCATTCAGTGAAGTCTTTCTGACCTTGTGCATGTGGGACTATTCAATTTCAGTTCAATTTATATATAAAGCCTCCTTAACAGAAAAGATTGCCAAGTCCATAAAATTTTTAACTGCATTTCACCCTGGACAGAATAAGGCAGTCAGTGCACACAGGTTAGGACCTGAAGAGTTTAGAAACGCATCATCACAGAAATACTCTTTGTGTTGTAGGAGTCTCACCTTGATGTCTTTTTTTTAAAGGTAGGACTAAAAAAATTATTCTTAACAAAAGCTTTATTATTTAAATTGAATTTAAATTATCCAACCTTTATATGGTTGGATACCAGGGAGAAAAAATATTGTAAACACAACTTGACCATGCAAACACATGGAAAGGTAAGGGGTGGCAGAGGTGGTGCAAATAAATTACCACAGCTGAAATTGCTGTAAAAAAATTAAAAATAAATCTTAATATTCTACTGTCACAGGACAACCATCCCTCCAGAAACAGTGGCAGAAAAAGGAGCAGATCTTATAACAACTTCCAAAAGTTCCTGAGTTTATAGACGTAACATTATAGCTGCAGAAAAGTGTCTATGTGTAAGTAACCAAGAGGAAAAACACACTAATCTGTGGGGCATGAGATCTATTGGGCTTACTCAGATAGCCTTCAGGTCTTAAGAACAGGTCTTGAAGCAAAACATATTGTGAGTGAATGGAGACCAGACTGAAAAAAAACCAATGTGTGTTAATCACAGGGAATTTGCATTTGACCGACCCAACATCTTTCACTGTCAAAAGAAGCAAAGGAGAGCCGGACACTGTAACTTTTACCAAAGCAGTAGGTTGTATTTGCAATAATTACTTCCCAATTACTTCCTAACAAGGAGAACAGTTGTACATAGATGACATTTGCAAATTACACCAACTTTGTCGGCTTTAACAGGAAAGCAGAGGACTAGAGCATCATGTGGGTATGGATGACATTGAGTAGTCAATTAACAGCAGTGAAATTTAGATTTACAGCAAAAATAGATTCATTTGGGGATAAAAGCTGAATTTCCATTATAAGCTACAAGCTTGTAGTTGGAAATGTTTGAGGAAGAGATGTGGATCCTGAATTATCATAATAAAGCCACAGAAAAGGTCACTGGTATCTCAGAAGAGGATCACAGTGACCTTACTCCAGAAGACGGACATTCAGCCCCTGGAAGTACAGTAGTGCTAGATACCTCGTACAAAGCACCTGTGGGGTATTTATGCAAGATTTATGTAGTTCAAGCACAATTTAGAAAAGATGAGCTCATTCTAGAAGAGAGTAGGAGGAGGATTCGTAGCATGGTTTAAGTAATGGAAAAACTGCTTTATAAGAACTCAATGAGCTGGGTTGATTCAGCCTGTCAAAATGAAGGCTAGGAGAGGATGCAATCCCTTTGTTTCAGGATTAAACAGTAAAAAGAGAAGAACAACTATTGGAGCTAAAACCAATGCTATAGAAAAGAGACACTGAATACACTTGTGCTGGAAGTCAGAAGGCAGGTTTTAGCTCTCAGAGGAACAGGGCTCAGGGACAACTGTGAAAGGAAAATCCAGTCTGCCTGGCAACAGCCTGTTCATTTGGCAAAAGGCTTGTACTATGTGCCTGTGCTGGTAGAGAAACCTGCTCACAGGCCTTGGTTCCTAAATCTTTTAAAAAAGGAAACATTTGGAGAGTGCACTAAACTTTCAGAGGACTACCAGACAGTTACTGAATTCCCCAGACAGCAATTCGCATCACAGTCCTGCAGCCAGTGTGGGCAGCCTTAAAAGCAATTACTTTTTTTTTTTTCTCTCTTCTTTTTTTTTTCTTTTTTTTTTTTGTTGTTGTTTTCGCACAGTTTGCCTGGCCAGCCCATAAAAGGAGGAATTACTACAGTGAAAGAGAAATTGATTATGCAGATAGTACTGTCCAATGCAGGAGGGAAACAAGCTAGAAAAAAATAGAGCAGAATAAATTGTTCTTGCAATCTAAGTGAGTAACATTTAAAGAAAAAACTCCAAGCAAAACACCCAGGAGATAAAAAAGAGAGAAGGGCAAAGTGGCCTTTTGCTTTTTTTTGGTCTTGTTTAAATTTTCCACCGTCCTTTTATACCTAAAGGCACACTTACGGGATTGAGGAGATTTTTTTCCCCCCAGCATGAGCATGAGTATTTTGGGAAAACATTGGCAAATAGCACCCCACCCCCCCCCAAAAAAAAAAAAAAGAAAAAAGGCTGCAAAGGCTGTTTAGATGAAGAATCAATCAATGAAACTGTTCAGTAGAAATACTTACCTGCATCCTGTCTGAGATTGACATGGGAAGTATTAATATTGTATGTGCTCATCTAGTGGATAAGATAATCGAGCACCATCAAAATGCAAAACAGGCCCTACAACTTCTCCAGCAGTAAATAAATAAATAAATCTACTTTTCCATCTGAATTCCCTTTCTCCTGCAATGCCATCTACAGGAAACCAGACAGATAAAAGGGAAGGCAGAGACAAAGGGATGAGGTGACTGCGGGTACTGGCTGAAGCCGAAGATCCCCCCAGACCCTGCTAATGAAATGAATTGGGCTTTCCAATTTCTGAAGCAATTAGACGAAGAGCAAGCCTTGGCTCTGACACCTCACTGGTACTTGCATAATAAATCGCGTCTGAACAGCAGATGACTCAGCAAGAGGATTTCCCATGACACCTTTCTAAGAAAGGTACCGTGTCTCTGTGCTATGGGTCTCAGGCTGCTGAAGAAATTTTCATGAATTGCATCTCTCCTCTTACGATTTAAATCTGCAAACACATGAAAGAAAAATCCTTAAGACATCCAAAGTTTGACAGGGGGAACAGAAGAAAAAGAAAAATCAGGAACTGAAATTTTCAGCAGGCACCTCCAGGCAAAGCAGCTCAGTGTCAGATGGGAATTTTGTTAGGGAAATATTTAGACCCCAATTCTCACCCTCATCCAGACAGTCTCCTTGCTGGGACCCTGGGTACTCAGACAAACTAGCTGTAATTCAGGTCACTAATAATTTCTTCTCAAAGGAATTGTGTTTGTGAAAGACCAAGACTTTGAGACACTGGGAAGACTGACACTTCTGCACACTCAAGGTTACGCTTTTCACCATGAGCTTCAGCCTTGTTCTGTGCAGCAGCAAGGACCACAGTCACTAGCTCTTAATTCCAGAAGGGCTAACACAAAAATCAAACGGTGCCAAAACTTCAGCAATAAGTTGGCCACATATACTACAGAGTACTGTATAAAAAAATACTTTTTATCCTGCACAGTATTTAAACTCTTCCTCTTATATCACAGCTCCCAATACTTCTAATGTAGACATTTTATCAGAGGGCTTAAGCTTTCTCAGAGTTCCCCTGGCCTTTAAAAGTTAATCTCAGTCAAACTGGAGGGAAAAACTGAACAAAACCAAAACCACTCCCACACAAACAAGAAAAGAAAAACTTTCAAAGGTCTTCGTGAGAAAACAGCTCGGAGTATTTTGTTTTGACAATCACTGGTTGTAGATTTTTTCCTGAAAATTTAGAGAACATTTTTAATCCATAAGTTTGATGAAACTTGCCATAAGTAAGGCTATGTTAATAAAACTTGATGCTTCTTTTAAAAGGTCTGAGCAGAAATGGGAAAAAAAATAAAATGCTATTCGGGTTTGGACGCTGCCTGAATTTTTCACTGGCATAACAACTTTAAAGGACCTTATAAGTAGCACACATTCAAGTGAATTTGCTTTTTTGGCAAAAAGTTGAAGAAAAGATAACTTCCTCTGGTAAAGGGAAGAGAGCAAAAGCTCTGAATGTGCTGCTGTAACACAGACTCCTGTGACTGACAGAAATCTCAATTCTGCATGAAATCTATTGTTCAAGGATGGGCTTGCAGACAGTTCACTTAAAAGCAGGAAAGTCTTACCTTTTGTTCAAGGACAAGTGTTACCCAGACATCAAGAACTGAGAGAATGAGCAGCCCTGGTTCTGCACAGCCAGAGTACAGAGTGCAGCTGGGGTCTGTGGATGACTGACAATTTTAGGAAGACACGTTGCATCAATTTTATGAGGATCTTCAGCACTTTCATCAAAAAAAGAAAAAAGTCATGCTTTCTGCCAGTTAATATAGTTTACTTTTTGTTTGTGTGTTTTTGGTGAAATTTATTTGCAGTAGAACTTGCAGACATTAGTTGCCTACAAGAAAGCAGCTCTTCCCAACATCTACTCTATAGCTACACCTAGGCAAGGGTCCACCAGAGGTAGGAGGATGGATTGGGATGTAGTTATAAAAATATCACCTTTACAAACAAGAACTTAGAAAGCCTGCTGGGAAGTCTCTGCCAAAGGTGTGACAGCTCCCAAGGCTCTACTTACGAAATAGTGCTTTGTATTTCAGAAGGTAAATGGAAAGCCTGAGTCATCCCGAATCAGCCCTACTTTTCAAGAACAGAGTCCTGATCAATATTTTTTAATGAGAGTCACCAAAATAACAGTCCCTAGTTTCTCCTTTTCCAGGTGAAACTTGAAACATTCAATTTATCACTGCTGAAGAGGATTTGTGTACCTGCTGATTATAAGCACAAATGCTATTCCCAAATTTTTCTTCAACAATCCCCAGAAATCTATCTCCTAAAATGGGATTTCTGTAGTTCTTACAGAAGCAGCCATCAGGAATTTGAAAAGTACATTAAGTGAGAAAGACTACTTTACATCCTCTAATTTCTAAACTCATAGAGCAGCTCCTGGGTCACCGCCAGCTCCCCACCAAGAACACAACAGGAACCTTCCAATGCCTCTCCCTTGCCCTTCAGCTTTCAGGCTTTATTGATGCAATTGCAATCAGAAGACGTCCATGTATCAGCCACATGCCAGCCTCAGTGGCACAGCAGTGGTGACGGTGGTGCAGTGGCCATGTACTGACACAGCGCACCAGACCATGCTTAGGAGCACAAGTTCCTTCTTCCTGCAGGGCCGATTGTATCGGATTTCTTTTCTCATATAGGCAACATCTATCTCCTCTTGTTTATAATAACAATTATTAATGGAAAAAACTCCCACAGAGTTCAGATAGATTGCT